ATGTTCGTCTGTGTTTTGCCTTAGCCAGTAGTATGCTTCTCTGAAGTCATCCAAGATGTTTCGAGTGCTGAAACACAAGAAGTAGTTCACAGCTAGTGTAAATATGATTTTACTATTAGATAGCAGAATTGCCTTGAATAGATCTAATATGTCAAATGAACACGTTTTTGCATTCCTAGACATTTTCACATAGGCAAAGATTCAATCACTGCTAATAAAAGCATATAAAATGGTGAGTCTTACCCATCATGATTGTAAGAGGCCAGAACAACACTAGGACTGGAGTAGGCATTGCTAGTGACCCACGTGCAGTGGACAGCAAACATCATCAACAGCATTAGCATCAACATCGTAACAATGCTCTTGATATTGGGGCCAAGACCTTCTTCAGTTTTTTCCTGTTCAGATATGTGTTTCCTCACTTTACCTGCCTGAACAAAGAAGCATTGAAGTTTTGGGTCCTCTTAACTGATGCGAATTTTTCAAAGTTCACAAACCTTTCCTGTGTTCAACGATACCCCCCCCCTTTTCACAGCGTCATCTCACATTCTGTTTTCCCATGCCATGTGCTACACCATTAGAAATGGTATTCTGAAGGTGGGAGGAGCTGTCTGCAACTCTGCACAGTGGAAGCATTCTTCCCAAGAAGAGTCTGTGCAGGAACCCGGCTCTAGCTGATGTAATGTTTGCATGAATGCAACCATGGGTTTTGTGAGAGGTATTCTTTCTTTCTTCTTTTTTTTGGGACTAGTACCGCAGTTCAAGATGTGCTACAGCCATAAGGGAGGATTTTTTTTTAAAAAAAAACTTACTAAGTTATTTACAATAGTAAAACCATAATTGTCTATTTCTTCTTTAGCGATTTATCTAATTGCCAAGACACACCATCATGACCCCCATCACCTACCTTATCATAGAGATTTCCCGGGTTTCTTTTATCATCCTCATCGCTGCTGTCTTCTACTGGTGGATTCTCTCTCTTCATGTCATCACCCAAATAATGCTCAAAAACATTAGAGAAAGCAATTGCCGACAGCATACAGACCACTGGAGTCAAAGTTAGCATCAGACGAACCATCACTCCAGCAAAGTAAACAGCACTGATTGCATACAGAGCCACTGCAGAGACACAAAACCACCTGATTTTAGTATTAAATATTTTTAAAAAACTAATATTATTACAATTGGGATTTTAGTTTCAGAAATAAAGGCAACATACACTCTTAAGAGAACTTGCCAGGTTTTATTACCTAGAGTCTCCTGTATCATACAGACATGCACTTATGCCTGAACTGCATTACAACTTTCAGTAAAAGGGTTTCTTTACCATATTTAGTAATAAGAACTATATTAGTTTTATCTTACTAAGACATCTCACCTCTCAGCATACCAATTTAACAAGCAGCAGGTAGAAGATTTTAGGAATAAAAGAAAATGGCTTTTAAATGACACAACTAAATTACTACAGTGAGGTCTCTGTGAACTCCTGGGCTCACCTGCACTAGTGCTAAAGTGGAAAAGAGCTAAACTTGAGTGCTCACAAGTGCTGTTCTAAAAAGGTAATTTTTCAGACTGGATTGAACAAAATGATTCCTTTCAATTGGATTAAGCATCAGATTTAAAATTACTACAGGAGGAAAAACCCTGAGCAAACTGGAGACCAGCATTATATCAGTAACAATGAATTACAGAAATCCTCAAATAATATTATCCTATACTGTGATACTAATTTTGTTGGAAGAACAGCTTTTTCCATTACGAAGTTTTACCTCTGGAAATGCTATATTTGAGTTTATTTAATTACTAGTGGATCCATCAATATGCATACAATATTGTCTAAAATGGGAAAAGATATCTGGCTATATGATGATGATGATGATGATGAACTGCCACACTGTAGAATCTTGGTGAAAAGGAGCCACTTATTTATTACTAGCCTAATACCCGTGCTTTGCTATGGTATTTAACTTCCATAAATCCAGTTATAATACTGATGATGTAAAGTTTGAAATGTAACATTTGTTGTAGGAATTCTAATGGAGAAGATTGTAGAATAAAAAATTAAGTGAGACATATGTACTTTTTTTTTCTCTACTGAAGGACCTCTGTAGACTGCTGGGGTGGGCTCCCTCGTGGCTTTAAGCACCCTGCAACCGCTGCTGCACCTGACAACCGCCTGTTAGGTGTAGGAGGTGGGGGGGAGTGTGTTGGAAGCCATCAGAGAGGCTGGGTCAGCAGCATTGCTAAGGCGATCCTGCTGGGGTGGCATCCCTGATGGATTAAAGTACCCTGGTCCTGCTCCTACACCTGACAGACACCCGCCTGTCTGGTGTTGGGGGGATTATGTTTAAAGGCATCAGGGAGGCTGGGCCAGCAGCAGGGCTAAGGCAATCTTGCTGAGCAAACCTCCACGGCGGCTGTAAGCATCCCCCCTCCTACACCTGACAGGCAACCACTGTGGAGGTGGGGCTGGCAGGATCACTAAGGCGTTACTGCTGGGGCAGGATCCCTCGTGGCTTTAAGCACCCTGCAACCGCTGCTGTACCTGACAGACAACTGCCTGTCAGGTGTGTGTGTGTGGGGGAAAGCATGTTTGAAGCCATAGGGAGGCTGGGCCAGCAGCTTTGCTTCACCTCACAGGCAGTTGGCCACTCCTGATTTCCTCAACTGTCATTAGTTCTCTGTAGTCCCATGTAACTGTTTTTTTTTTTTAACTCAGAACACTGAGCTCTGCAGCTGACCTATCAGAGAGTGGGGGAGTGCAAGGAGGCAGCAGCCTGGCAGCTGCATAGGAATGAATGGGGGGAGCACATTTTACCCCTTTTGACCCACTTAGGGGTCGAATTTCTAAAAATCCCTTCTTAGTGAGCATCTACGTCATGGTAGGAGCGCTCTCCCCGAATCTGGTGTTTCTTGGTCCAGGGGTTTGGCCTGGGCATTGATTTTATGGTGAGGGGACTTACTTTTATATATATAGATTGGAAGATGAACAGGTAACTCACAAGGAATTGTGGGAAGAGGGAAAATCCTCTCCCTCATACCAGTAACTTTGCCATTTCCTCTGAGAAGAAGCATAGAAGAACATGCTAGACACCCATATTGTGGCACAGAGAGGCTGACAAGGCAAGAGCTCTGCTGTTCAGCACTGTGACGGATTTGACGCTTTTCATATCCAAGGAGAATCAATCAGCTGTTTTCTTGTCCTTGTGCAAGAAGAGCACTGAGGAAGGGCTAGAGAACCTTTAGTTCTTCCCCACCCCCATAAACTAAAGAGGCTTGCTTCCCTTCAGCTTAAAGTCCACCAAGCAGAGTCTGTGCTTGCCCCTGTGCTCAGTTTTCATGCTGCCAGGATTCTGAAGCAGTTCAGTTTCCACACCCCTTTTTTGGGACCCTCCCTTTTCTGAGTTTCATTTAAACGTCCATATTTTTCCGCATGCCTAGGGTCCTTCTGAATATGCAAAAGTCTCCTCCCATGTGGTTGTGGCCAGCCCCATTGTGCTGATTTTGGTGGGTGGGGCAAGAGGGATATCCAGACTACTATAAGAGGGAATTACATTTAATGTAAAACATTCAGTGCATGGATGTCAATAAATCTGAATGAAATCATGTTAAGCAGTGTTTTCAATTAAGAAAATATTTTTACCCAAATAAGAAGAAACATCAATCTTAAAGATTCCCTTCTGCTAAGGGAGGAGCCTCCCCACTTAGCAGAAAGTGATTTTTGGATCCAACCTATTGTAAACTAACACAAAAGAATGAAAACTTCAGGTTCCCAGTTCAGTTTTAAAAAGTTAAATTGTTTCCTCTTACCAAAGACTCTTTCATCATTGATGTTTTTGATACAGAACCACAGCCCTGCTGGGAAAGTACACACGAGAATATGTAGATCAAAAAAGAAGGAAACCCATGTTGTAGGCTGATGCTCAGACACAGAAGCAATGATCGGGATGTGAATTTTCGCATACCTTGTTTAAAAAAAATTTAGTTCAAATTAATTTGAAGTGATGAAACTAATGAAGAGAATAAGTACAAAGAAGCACTGCGGAAAAATTTTAGGTTACCTATTTTGTCATCTCTTGACTATTCAGTAGAAATCCAAAACATTCTTGACAGCCTTTGCCTTTCATAATACTTAAGATAAAGGTTTCTTAAGCTCAAATTGGTTTTTACTAATCTCAAAATGAGCATTTTAAAGCTGCCAAAATGTGCTTCTCATTACAAAGTTTCATTTTATGTCCTTGCTAACGAGTGAGAAAAAATGAACATGCTAAGGTACAAGTCTCCATTTTAATAGAAGAACAGGTTTCTAGCCAGGTCAATTTCCACATGCACATCTTATGCATTAGACCATATTAGTTTGTGCCACATACACTGACCAAATCCTACAATTGGGTCAAAACTACCCAAGCTGGTGCCCTTAAGCCTTTGCTGTGCCATTAGATTTCTCCAGTCTAGTGGTTACCAGCTGGTTTTCAGTTGGCTGACATTGTGACAAGGGTTAAAAACATACGAGATACAAGAAATCCAGTGTCTGATTCCCTGATTTTAAACACACTTTAATGCAATGTGTGTGGGTTAAGAGATTTTGGGCTCTGGCTAAAGGGAAGCCCCCCCCCCCACTTATATTTGTCTCAGGGTTTGACAGACCTTGAAAGTATACCAAAAAACCCCAACCCAGACCACCAGAATATATTTTATGTATATAACTAAGGAGTGCAACACTTTCTCATGCTGTTCTTCTGATATAATCCTCCCTCATTCTGAAGCCAAGATGTAGGTACGTTTTTTCAGGGGTTTTTCCTCCACTGAAGCGAACAGCAGCTTTGAAGGAGGTGGTGGGCTACTTGAATCAGGAAACCAGTGTGAGGAGAAGGCTTAAGCCCTTTCCCAGCGCCACTGTCCCAATCAAAATAAGGTTCTCTCTACACATCTGGCTGTTTTGAAGCCAACCAACAGGCACAAAAAAGATTCAGTCATAAATCTCACATGTTATGCTTGTTTTTCCCATCAGAGAAGCTTTTCTGTAGGACAAATATGCATTGAAGTGCTGGCACTTTCCAATTTGATCTTCTGTACCACATCACTTTCCTGTTTTACAAATCTTAAATGAAAGAGTGGAAGTTTTAGCAGCACTATTTCTACTGAAAAGGACAACTGTTGTTGTGGCAAGCTCTTCAAAAAGAACACTTGATCTGAATTCGTATCACTACTGTTTCTGTGAACATTTTCAAACTGCTCCATCACACTGACCAGAACTGACGCTTGAAAACTCTAATAGGAAAATCTGTGGCTCTTAAGATCAGAAGAGATTTTATAAACATGAAAGGAGCCAATTTTTCATGCACGGAGAACAGCATCTGAACCAGTTTTTTCAATATTTCTACTTACCCAGTATCCCACAGTGAATAGAATCTGCCACTCCATGGTGCAATATAGCCTGAAAATTCAAGTCAGTCAGTGAGTATTACCAAAGATTTCTGTAGAAGTGTGTATCAATATCTATTATATTCGTATGACCAGAAAGGACAGAAAGAATATAGAATACGCTACTGGTTCTTTAAGAAGCATGAACCATGAACACAATACATTAAATTTCTAATCAACCTTTTAATTCAGCTGTTGTGAAAAATAAACCCAATAAATCTTGGAGTCTAAAGGTATTTTATACAGCGCCCAGTGTCCTGAAAAACGGTACTGCTTGAACATCTCATAATATCTTGTGAACTATCTGAACCACCATCTGGCAGTGAAAAGTGTTCATTTGATGTTATTTACCTGTATATGTTAAATAGATGACACTCAGGAATACAACCCCAGCAGCTAGTGACACACCCAAGAAGAACAAGGTCTGAAATTCTTGCTTCGTTAACCTGTCTCTCATATACTGCAAGAAGGCATAGGCCTGCAGCAGTGCAAACACACCTGGTTCAAAAAAAAAGAAAAGAAAAAATAATGAAGAGCTTTGGCTGAAGTAATCACACAACTTCTCAATGCTTGTTCAAAGGATGCAAAACTTAGAAGCTGATATAATCCTCTTCACACTATAAGTAGAAAAGGAAATACATTCACTATCCTTACAATATGCATACTGCTGAGGCATGTAATTCTCTTCCTTTATATTAAAAAACCCCAAATCTCTTGTAGAACCCACTTTGACAAACAACAGTAACTTCCAGCATTCATTATGGCAACTATCCCATGTTGTTCACATAGGCTTCCTTAGGCATAAGGAATGGTACGTTAATTCCAGGAAGAGGGAAATCTCATGGCCCTTACTTCTCATAAATAACCTCCTTAGTTTTTGTTGTAGAAGGCTTCGGGAAGCCATAATTTGCACCCATACACACATCTCAAATCCACCATGTCTATCTGTGGCTTTGCAAGGCAGTCTGGGCTCTAGCATAAGATTCTCAAGCAGTTTCCTGACTTCACAGATACCCCCAAATTATATGAATCACTTGTACAGCAACCTGTAGGAATAGAACTGGTGGTGTGGCTTATGAGTCCAGTGACGGTAGGGGCTGGTAGAGGTTTTATTAAGCCCTCCACATTTGTCCTCATAATTCGTATACTAACAAACTACACCTTACACTACAGATTATCAAAAGATCAGAATGAGTCACTTTATTACCAACCCAAAAAGAAAAGATATGGCACAGTGAGTACATTCAATGGAAACTGTCATGCCTACCTGCAGCTGCCATGTGCTCACTTGTTCTGATTGGCTGAAATCCAACAAAAGGAATCTGCATGGATAATATCAAGCCCACAATATAGAAAGTGCTATAAGCTGCAAGTGAATAAAGACAGCAAGACAGGTAATTACTATGAATGATTTTTTAAAATTACACATGTGAGAAAAAGCACTTAGCTTTCTTAATTGAAGAGAAAAAAGTTACAATTTCAAAAACAAAGAGTCACATATTCTACAAAAAAGGTTTCCATAGTTTCACAACGTTCATTGTTTCAGATGTCCCACCTGGAACTAGCATGGTTGCTAACAGCATTGTTATATGCAAACAGCGAGTAATACTGATCTAAAAATCTTGAAAGGGCTACTTTTTTTTGTGTGTGTGTGGTGGTCAGAGCAGTGGGGGGAGAGAATGGGACAAATATCCTTGAGACAGTCTCCAGATACACAGGCAAAACAAGACAAGCAGATTGTTTCATGGTATCTTTCTCCACGCAGTGGCATAGCAGGGAACATCGCAGCCTGAACGTGCCCTTGTAACAATCAGTTTACAAATATACATGTTGGGCAAGTATTATGGGAGATGCAGAAGCATGGAGACAGCACTAGTCCCCAAAACAACGTCCAGTACTTTGGAAACCCACATCCTATTTTTCAGCAGAGCCACCTCACAATGCAGGCAAGTCAGAACCAAATTTATCTCAGTTCTCTTGGCCCTCACTGAACCCAGATAATAATAATAATGATGATGATCTCTTCTTCCCATTCCCCCTTTGGGCAGGTGTGTATGTGCGTCACTGAGAACTGACTGAAAACATATGCATAGCAAAATACATTTCTGAAACTATTTCTCCAACTATTAATGTATTAATTCAAATAATGCCTCTGGCCAAGATTACAACATAATGCTAGCATACAAAAGTATGGGCTACATTTAATAAAACCCCATCTAATATAGTCAAGATTAAATGTAATGAGTACCTGCCTCCTCCTCCTTCCTTTTTACACTGGGACATCTCAATAGATTTATCTCAACCACTATATATGTGCTGGTAGAGATGTGTAATGCAGCTACAGCAAATTTAAACAGTATATAAGATGTTCATCTAACCAGGATGTTTACATTGGACATTAAAAAAAAATCAAACTTGCTACTGTTTTGCAGTTCATAATGTCAAAGTTACTGCAACACTGCCATCCTGTGGCATTTAACAGCAGCTTTTATTGTTTTGATCTCTTGTACCAACCTCATAGCATCTTGCTAACTGCAAGAGTTATATAACCATAACCATGCTTGTGGCTGTTTGCTCATGTGAAAATGCTAACATGTTTTAAGGTCTGGTTGGAATTACAGACCTGCTCCATTCTACTCCCCCATCCATCAGAATTTTCGGACACAAGATCTTTCAAAATAATGGCTTCCTAATTACTTTTGAAGGCCCTCCTTTTTCACAGTCTATAAAGAACTGGGCCCTCCTGTTACAAATAAGCTTACCAAGGCCAGAACAAGATGTTCAGAAGCACACACAAGACTCCAGCCTCTGTATTCTATCCTTACCCTGCAGTCTGGAGGCAAAGTGGTTCACCCACTATTTCTTTCCCGTAAGCTATAGAACTATTTTTCTAGTTGGTAATAAAGCCTGGTCTTAGAGCCAGACTGGGTAAAAGCAGAGGATTAATAAGCCTCTACTTGCAAATGAGCTGTTTCTGCAACTTCCTTTTGCTGTAACTCAATCATAACAAAAGCTAACTGCTATTCAGAATGTATCATAACAAGGACAATAGTCAGGACAGAACTATCAGCTACGGAATAGACACTAGTTTGACTTCTCTCAAACTTCACAGGAGGATAACAGCTCACACTAGCTGGCAGCTCCACAGCCTTGGGAGCATTGCTGCAACAGAAATCTCCATATATGTTCTTGCTGGTTCACAAATTTTTAGTTAAAATCTAGCAGAATTCAACAATTTTTTGCATCACTCATTAGCAGACTCATCAGTGACTGTGTTTTAGTATCTTGGGAGGATGCAGCAAAACAAAGAGCTGGTCTTGCTTATTTTCAAGAACATTCAAATTCTATGCAGGGGCACCATTCCCAGAATATAGTTCTGGAAAAGTTAAGTACTGTTCTCCCTGGCTGAATCAGTCAGAAAGATGTGGTGATATGCTGGAGATAGGAATGACTATGCATCAAGACCATCTGGAAATTTTGTATGCCTTCAGAAAGATGACATCAATAGCTGATGTTGTTCTTGGATAAGTTATCCACCTTCTCCTTCAGATTCTATGTTCAAAAGCCTGGAATCAAACTGCTTAACTGTGAATGGTGTCTGTGGTAATAATGATTACCTGGTTTTCAGTTCGAGTGACCAGCCCTTGTATTTGTGAATAACACATAGCTGCAAGATTAATAAATGACGGACTGTGAAAAACAAACTGCAAAACATTTTGGTGTCCACCTGCAGCAGCTTAAAGATTTCATATCTGATGTAACAGATTCCACTTATTCTCAGTGCAAGCAAGCCAAACATTGTCCTGTCAACCGAATCAAAAGTCGCTTTGTTGTAGATTCATACAGCTCAAAGCAGAAAATTGAATTCGTGGGACTAGTCAGCCAGGACTTGGAGAGCGAGGGCACTATCCATTGTAGGCCATATGGCAGCCTTTTTTTTTTTAAAGGTGGCCAACTGTAATAAGGAGCAAATGTATCTTTTCAAACAGTGTATGAGGCACCTCAGAATGACTGTTTTTCCTTTGCTTTACAAACTAAATATAGGAAAGCCATTAAGTTCGCATATGAATACGGAATTCAGATTAGAAAAGGGGAAAAACATTTTTTAAAAAGGATTTAAACCTACGGCAATAAGCAAGAGCAAACCAGTAACAGGCCGTTGCAACATACATTTTACCTACCAGGCAGCATCAGTAGCTACTGTTTTACTGGTTATATATTTATACTGTATTTCAGAAAAATACATAATGGAAAAGCAATTCATTTTACAATATTATGGTTTGTCTAGCCATGGCTGCAGTTCTGGACATACGTCCAGGGAGCAGGTCCTATTAAACTCAATCAGACTTACGTGCCATTTAACAGGTTCTTGTACTTTATGGTCCACTGGTGACAACTCCCTCTCATGGCAGACCCCCCCCCCCTTTGCCCCCACAGCTGTTCATAAGAATTCCCAGGAAAATAATTTCATGGCGCTCAGTAGGCTGCAGCAGGGAAGTGGGAAAACCCTGTTTCATAAGTTGTTTGCAGATATTGTAGGATGGTTACAATCATGGTATTGGTCTAGGATCTGCCCCTTCTAGGTTAGCCAGTTATCCCCTTATATAACTTTTTTATTCTCTGGAAGAAAAACGAATATATAGTACAACACTAAGCACAGTTACACCCTTTAAAGCCTACTGAAGTCAATGGGCTTTGAAAGGTATAAGTCTGTTTATGATTGTATCATTATTGGCTAGTATCCATTTCTGAGGTAATAACTTTATAAGCATTATGGTGTCAAATTTAGAGTCTTTCACTAAGTTTGATACTTTCCTCATTAGGAAGGGACAACTGGCAACATTGGTCCCAGAAATGAACGCAAACATCAGCAATGCTGTATTAACTTTTATTGAAACAAGGTCTGCTGGTATACACATTTCAAGTTATCCACAGTTGTTTTAATGACAGGAAGTAGAAGCAGCTCAGAGCAGAGTAGATTGACTTAAATGAACTGATTTAAGTCGCTGATTAAATCAAATTCCCCATTTTGAAACGTATATGTTTCTTGAACAAAACTATTCATTAGTGATAGGCAAATTTCCCCTGGCCTTAAGCTGTAGGATACAGGTCTGCAAGGTTCCAAATCCAATTACGATACTCAATAACCTCCATCTTCCTGTGCTGCAATCATGGTTATTCAAATGTAGCTGAATGCTAGATCTTCCCAAATCTACATTGGCAATGTTTGCACTTATAACAAGACTGTAATACACTGCAGATCGAGTCATGTAGCTTATTCTGTGTTGAAGGGGGCCCTTGTTCATCATTGTTCCATATTACAACTAAGCATTTACAACAGCTGTTGTGTAATATTCCAAAACTGACTCAAAAGAAATCATATTGAAGTCAGCATCAATAACTTTGCATCAAATATGCATGAGCAGTCAGCAGGAGTTTAGTCAGCATTGTCGTTACAATGCCAAGTAGGTCAAATAAATGCCCAGCTATATTCATTCACTAAAGCCATAAAAAGTCCATTCCTGACTTTACGGAATGTTCTATGAATGTTAAATGATCTTGAATAAGTGCTAGACCAATTACATTATGCCCCATTAACCTTTTTTATTAGTGTATGAATGCTTGGGGGGGGGGGAACAATAAATAAGTCACATAGTTTTTTGATGTGTTGTGACAGAATGCTGGCAAATGTTTATTTGGATTTGCTTCACTGATTATGCACTTCACCTGTAAATTATAAAGGGATTGACTCAATCCTGGTTACTTGTTCAAATTTACTATAATAGTTATGCAGCAAGCACTCCTCTATTCTGTAAGCATTATCTGTTTGCCAGCTCCAGATAGTAAAGCTACTGAATGCAGACCAGTGATGGTAAGATAAGTATTGCTTAAACATGGCTGGGCGTTGATTTGCCCTTTACAAACACAGCCCTTCTCACAAAGAGAATAGCAAGAAGGTTGCACGCATGTCTGCAAAAGCCCACTTTAAAGCCAATAAAATCTGACTGAAGCTGACAAGGAAATAAGAAAAGCACACTAGAGGGTTGTTTTTTTAAAAAGAAATAATGCTATATCATGGGATTTACAAATCAGAGAAAATTAACTGGTTCTGTTCTGTGATCAATGGAATGTACATGACTGGACAAAATTAATCACAGAATTTAATTCCACAGTCTGAGAAAAGGAAAGAATAAAAAGCAGTTTTTACCCAAACTATTTTAACAAGTCAGAACACTCACCTATGTAGACCCTTCTGCTGTATCTCTGCATCAACAGTAGCACAAATACATGCAGTGGAATAAGATTGATGATGAAAACATAACCACCCCATGCAGAGACCTGTGAAAAATGAGTATCATAAGAGTAACTAGAACAAGAAAGTTGTAAACTTTTCTAAATTAAAAAGAGTCAGAGAATAAGCATTTTCAAATTCTAGTTCTAAGTCAATGGGGACAGGGTATTTTGCGTGTGTGTGTGTGCCTGTAAGTCATGGTTGACTTCTGGTGACCCCCAGTGGGGCTTGGACGTTTCAGAGAGGCAGCTTTGCTACTGCCTGCCTCTGCGTCCCAGCCCTGTTATTCCTTGGAGGTCTCCCATCCAAGTACTTGCCCGGGCTATCCAGGCCAGGGCCTAAGTCAATGTTATTTTGTACGTAAACACTGAACGTGAGCATGTTGCATATCCCAAGGAACACATGGTAGAAAGACTCTTCTACAGTGGTTTTTTGACAATCTGTATCAACCAAGCAGGAAACATTCCAGGGAGAAAGAAGACTCATAAACCTTATGCAGCAGGCTGTTATTTACTTCATTTATACTCCGCCTTTCTCTCCAATAGGGAGCCAAAGTGGCTTATATCGTTTATTTTACCCTCACAGCATCCCTGAGAAGTAGGTCCAAGGTCACTCAGGAAACTTCCATGGCATAGTGAGGATCTGAACCTGGATATACAAATATTTTTTATGTAAACAACACTCTTAAAGAGAGAGCAGCCAAGCTGCCCCCAAGGTGGGGGTGAAGAATTTTGCCAGCTTTTTCACCCCAGTCCTGCAACACTTTTGCAAAGATGAAAAGGTACAGGGTGGAGTCATCACAGTCCCATTTTTTTTAAAAAAGTTTGAATTCCTACGTTTTAAAGTGCTTTCATAGCTTTATAAGTCATCTTGGACACTGGTATTCGTAGAAAGGCATGGTATAAAAACGCTCTAAAATATATTGTTCACTCATGCGATTTTCTGAACAGAATACAAATTGTTTTACTTTGCTCTATTTGAAGTGCGCCATGAATTTAGTCACTCAATTAACAGATAGCACATAGTCTTTTTGTGACTATACAGAACATTGCTAAACTGGACCTATTATAATTTTCAGAATAAATTCATTACAGAAGAATTACTGAAGTATTATTGAAAAACCTGAACAGTAGTTGATTGAACCTGGGAAACAGCAAGACAAACTCCTACTCAAGGGAGACAACAAACCCGGAAATACTACCACACAGAGACTCATTCATGGTTATGAAGAGCTTGCAATACACCATTAACTGACTTGCCAATTAGCTGCACTGTACAACCCCTACCTGCATCAAAACGAGCACTGCCATTTATTTTTACACAGTCTTACACTTCAATCAGTTATATCACTACAGAAAAACACATCCTTGTAAGATATGGCAAGACATAAAAGTATCTTTTAAAGATATTAATGTGTTCTTTTTTTTAAACAACCACCACCAACGTTTGGCATGTATAGCTCAGCCATCTTGCTTCCTCTGCTGAAGCCACTTATACTGCCCCCGCACACTAGTGAGGAAGAGAACTTGTGACAACTTTGTTCCTCAGTTTTAAATCTGTGTTTTAATACTCCCTCAGGTGCCTACTTGCTGGGATGCTCAGCTTCTACACATACAACTGCCATGGATGAGGAGATAGAAAGCCTCCACCCCAACTGGAACAGCCACATCTGCTGGCTGTAATGACTGGCCGTCAGCCAGCACTTCCAAACCGAGCTTTTGTTTTTATTCCTGTGAATGAATGACAGCTCTAGAGCGTTTATCCCTCTGACATATCCCTCCAGCATGGGATACTGTCAGGCCCATGTTTGGGTTTGACAACTGGCTAACTTCAGAAGGTGAGGACACAAGAAGCAGGGCTTTGGAAGATGATCCCAGTGGTTAGCTAGGTTCATATGGGAGTAGGTGGTCCTTCAGGTAAGAGGCAAACTTAATGGCAAACCACTTGCTCCCATAAGAATTCAGTCATGGCACTGAAACGAGGGAACTCTCTCCTCAGAGGTATTTGTCTGTCCCCTTCTATCACTGTCTTCCACAGCAGGTGAAGACTTTTTGGTATCTGAATTTAGTTACCTCCTGAAATTAGGCAGCTGGCAACCCAGGAGAGGGCTTTCTCAGACTATGCGTAATCTGTTACTGGATAACTAAACTCATGATCCCTCAATCCTGTCCTATGTTTTAATTATGGTTTATATGTGTTTTAATGTGTATTTTAGTTTGGTTATAATTGTTTTTAATGGTAGGCTTCAACTGTTAGCTGCTTTGGTGGCCTGACAGGACAGAAAGGCAACACACAAATTTTGTAAATAAATAAAATAAATAAATCAGGTGCCCCGGCTGATTTGGCAGAAGTGGTCTCAAACCTGGTGTTGCGGACTTCCAGGCTAACAGTTCTAAAAGACTTCACTATCCCTGCCAAGTCTACCTTGTCAGGACAAGCTCAAGACTTTATGGCCACGATGACAACATCCCAGGTTGCTTTGGGTCCAATATATGAAGGACACACACACATTACCTTCTTTTATGTACTGAGCAGGTAAATTGGTAATCTCACTGGGGTAGGGGGTGGTGGCAGCACAGAGATTCAGCCATTGTCATGGCTGATCATTATTTGATGAATGCTTGGTTGGTTCTGTCTCTTTCTCCTTGCAAGGTCTAGGTTACTTAGGTTAGGCTGCGCTCAAGACAAATGGAATCAATCAGGTTCCAGAATGCTCTGGAGAATTTTGAGAATCTTTATTACAGTACTGGCGAAGCACTAATGTACACCTGAAACAATGCGCTACCTGGGGCAAAACACAAAGTCACTCCTGGTGGCTTCTGCTTCCATTCATAAGACCACTTGCTCCATGAATTCCTAGGTAACTATAAAAAATGAACAGAATTGGGAGGTATCCTGTGTGTCCCCAGATCATATATAGGCAGGCCTAAATGGTGGCCAAGGTTGCTTTCTTTTCCATCACCAGTGAATCAGCTGTACTTCATTCACCTCAACTATTTAATGGAGTCTGAGACCTTTAACATATAGGTCGGACTCCTCCAACAGTAATTTGACCACTAGCTGCGACATAAGGTTCTTGTCTGACAAAGCCTTTCATCTGATCCGACTTGGACATCAGGTTGGATATAGGATCCTGTACTAGAGTTAAGACTCATTTGCTTAGCAGAGTTTTATGGACAGGTTCAGGTTGGTTTTATTGACATACACTGAAAATATCCTTGGAGTTGTGAAAGATACCACCTGCAATTTGGATTCCAGACTTTTATGGCTAGGGAAAGCCACAAGAAAAAGTTAATATTTCACCGGCAGAGGGATTTTTCCACAAACCTCTAGCAGAGGGTAAGATTGGACAGCTTTGGTGGACAATCTCTGCCTCCAGTTATATCAGGACAGTTTGATCAGTGATCCTACTGAAATGCTGTCTCCCTGCCTGAGCTTGTGGAGGCCATCTCAGACATGGTGTTGAGGACTCCTAGGCTGCTTGTCTGGGGGACTTCAACATCCATGCCAAGGTTACCTTGTTGGGAGCAGCTCAGGATTTCAAGGCCTCCGTGAAAACCATGGGCCTGTCTCAGGTAATAACAGGCCTCACCCACTATGCAGGTTATACTCTCAATCTAGTGTTTTGCTCTAGTCAGGAAGAAGGCTATCTGAAGGGGGGGGCTGAAGATGGCCCCCTTGTCATGGGTACAGCACTGCTTGCTGACGTTTAGAGTTACAGGGGTTCTAAGACTCCGCAGAGGTAGGGGATCGATTAAAATGATCTGCCCCTAGAGCCTGATGGGTCCTTCATCTCCTTTGTGCCACTTTGGCATGGGCCTTCTGTCACCAGTGTTCCTGTGGACTGGAAGATGAGTCTTGGGGGGCTACAAGACCAGGCTCAGGTCCTGCATGGCAGAGGCCTGGAGAGCACCTCTGGGGCTAGTGGAGAGGCCTCACTTGCAGCATCTGGGCAAGGCCGCCTCTGATGCTGAGGAGGCATCATGTGCAGGTGGCTCTGCAGTGCTGGGCCCTTCCTGGTACCCCAGGTCCTCCTCAGACACTGGCCTTGGCTCCTCTTCTAAAGATTTTGTTAGAATCACTGAGTGGACAGGAGGGGGTCATGACATCTAGTCTCAAAGTGTTATTTTTTTAACTTTTAAGAGCTCCCTTCAAGATCTGGGATCACAGAGCTGAAAGATTACCTCCTCATGCACCAACTGCGTTACTGGATCCACTTTCTGTTTGCAATTCCCTTGCCTGCCTGAAGTGCATGGCCTTCCTCAGTTCATGATTTCTCTGCTAATCCCATGGGAAGGCCTTCCAGAGGCAATGAAAAGCTGTTTTCTTTGGTAGAGCTTCTCTATGATGTCCTTGGGGCTGTGGTTTTATGATTCTGGAAGACCTAATCAGTAATTTGTTATTTATTTATTTGAATATGTATAGTTGATTTTTGTATTAATGCCATTAAGCATTCTTGGACCTTTTGGGGAAGTGATAGGAAACAAATATTCTAAAAACAAGCTTCAATAGAATAAGGTTTCCATGTAACGTTGTCCTATTGTGCAAATTGTAAACAAGATTTGTGTCAGGATGGGACCAAAGGGTACCTGTGACAGGCCTTTCCTGCCAACTGAGGACACCCACACAGCCTCCAATGATTCAGGGGAATCAGGTTTGTTTTAAACTATGAACCTTCCCCTCAGTTGCCAGATGTTCTTCAGTCAGCAAGTGCAAGGGCTTCGAGTTCACTGTCATAAGGTAAACTTTGTAGTGAGAAAGCAGAATATGGAAATCACTCAGGGAGGAGCTGTATGTAGATAATAAAGATTTATTTATTTATTTACAGGTTAATTTTAAAGATCAAATCAGCAGTACAGGTCTCCAGATTCTCAAAGGAGAAACCTGACTGAGGTACATAAATTTAAACTAGTTATGGCTTCAGAGTGCGGTTTAAATTCTCTTTGATGCTTACAGGTACAAACAGGCTTTTAGTGACTAGACACTAGGTTGGATCTTCTCTCACACACAGGATTCCACCTACATCAACCTCCCCCCTTAGTCAGACTAAATGGTACAAGGTCTGCTCATTACCAGAGACAGGTCTAACAGATGGGTACTCTATTCTCTCCCAGAGGTAGAGCTAAATCCCTCTGCCCTTTTGCGGACCTGAGTTATCACTGCTTCTCTCCGTGGGGCAGACCTGAACTATCTCCTGTTGTGCTTCCCTCCAAACTTCCATCCCCCTGCCTAAAGGTTTTGGGAACTGGAGCACCACTCCCATAAGCTCAGCTGGGTGGGTGTTTTTCCCTTCAGGGGCAGGACACCCTCCTGTCCATCACAGTATCCTGTTTGAGTATTTCCATGGGATAGAACAGTAGCAGCAGCTTAGCACTGCTTTCTGAAACAGCTTGGAGAGGAAAACTGGCACCTCCTCAGACAGTCTTCCATTTCCATAAAATCCCTTAGGTTGCTAAGTGAAAGTTAATTAGTGCCAAAGGTCATCCAAATATCTAGTAGTACCTAAAAGTACTTTCACTGTATATTGCTAGGCAGCCACAACTTTAAGTATGTCTGAAATGGATCAGAAAAAATAATCAAGTGGACAAAAACAGAGGAAGTATTACTCTCACTGGAGGAGAACAGTATAAGATTATTTAAATTATCCAATCTCGAGGATTATAGAGAGTTGCTTAAGCAACTAACTTCAGATCCTGGGAAAAAGAGGAATTTGTATACATTCTCAAAGATTATTATTTATTTTCACATTCTTCAAAAGTGATCTCCTTAATTCAGAGAAAGCACCCAGACACACAACGTCAGCCACAAGACATTGCTCGTAAGAATATGCCAGATCAGACCAGTGGTCCATCTAGTCCAGCTTATTATTTCATACAGCAGCCAACCAGTTGGTCTGGAGGGCCAAACAAACCGGGTATAAAGACCAAGGTCTTCCTTCTTATAGCATTGGTATTCAGAAGTTTGCTGCCTCTGTATACGAAGGTTCTGAGATTCTCCCAAGATACATGCCAGCTCTTCAAAGACACAAAACCTTTTAAATATACCACCACAAAGAAAGAGGTAAGCTACAGGTCAGCTGTTGTAACCGAAACAATATAAAGACAGCGTTTTCAAACAATGGCCAGTATGGTGGTGGAAAGTGCTGTCAAGTCACAGCTGACCTATGGCAACCCTGTAGGTTTTTCAAGGCAAGAGACTTTCAGAGGTGTTGTTTTGCCACTGCCAGTCTCTGTCACAACCCTGGTATTCCCTGGAAGTCTCCCATCCAAATACTAGCCAGGGCTGGCCCTGCTTAGCTTCTGAGATCTGATGAGATTGGGCTATCCTGGGCTATCCAGGTTAAGGCAATGGCTGGTATACTTGTTTCTATTATAGAGGCTGTTCCAACCTTTAAACATGATCAATAAAAGCTATTATACTGTGTCAATGAAAAATGACCTCGCATGGATAACTTTAAATGAACAAGTGAATATGTGATTTAGAATTTCACCTACCATGTAGAAGTAGGATAGGCAGCAGCATATTGTCCAGAAGACTGACCCAGTTTTCACAGACTTCACCTGAAAAGTAGTCAAGTTATAATACCAGTGAAAAACTATGGAACAAAAAAGTCATGCAAATGACAAGGTAAGTTGTTGTAAGAAAAGGATATGAACTATACAATAGTTTTACATTTCCCCCTCAAGATTCCCTGGAAATGGTTATTCAACATAATATAGTTAAAAGTGCAATTCAGTTCAATGCCACATTACCTCAGTAAATGGGTTCCAGCCTAACAGGGAGTGAAGACATTGCATTAACCCTTCTTTAATGGAGCAAATTAACAGGATGCCTCATCTCTGCATGTATATATATCTGATGTAAAACTTCTAGTGGATTCATGCCATACTATTATAATGCCTAAACTCTGCTAAATCAGATGCCACTTTGAATTTTAACAGACTAAAACTGCTTAACGAGAACCTTTCCATCAGATATCTAAACAAGGAGCCAAGTTGTTGCCTTATTTACTGCTCAAATAGATATCCAGCTTTTATGTATAACTGCCACACAGTTATCAAAATTCTATAAACAGTTTTTAGATATTAAAACTTCTATATTTTACTATCACACATGCAAGTCAAAACCTGCAATGCACCTAATGAATCTGTTTTGTTTTTAAAGAAAGCCATTGATGTAAATGATTTAGAGCAGTAACTGACGGGAGGAAATGCAGGCACTTTATTCTTTCATGTCCTAATTGTTTGCTGTTTTCTTACAAGTTTTGCCCATGGGATTCCTAATGCACATTTGTGGGGACAAGCATGCTGTTGGAACCTTGCAGAGTGAAAAGCAGCTCTGAGGGAAGAGGACCAGTAGAAGGGAACTGTTTGAAGCAGAGCAGGAGGCAGCAAGCAAGGGCTGCCTCAACAGTGGGCAACAGTGCCAGCTGCCCAGGACCCCCTGCTGGGGGCTCTCTGTCCCCCCCCCCCAAATTGCTCATGTCCCCTCTCCAATGGAGAGGAAAAAGAAGAAAAAGAGCAGGTTCCCACCACTACTCATACCTGTCCCATACAGGGTTCAGGCTGCCCACGTTCAGCAACAGGCATTTGCACCTGTCCTGTCCAGAGCTCAGACAACCAGCTCAGCACCAGCTACTTGTGCTTATTCTATTTGGGGCTTGGGCAGCTGGCTTTCAATGATGGCTCCCACTTGCCTCACATGAGGCAGAGGCTACCCTTTGTTTGGCCTCAGCAGCCCCCCCCCCCCCACTGAGGCTGCAAACGATTCTGGGAGCCCATCCTAGATTTTTGCCCAAGCTTTAGCATCGCTATGCATCCCATGCTCCCCTCCACCTATGTAGCCTATGTCACCAGGGATCTGTGATTTTCAAAAAGATTAAGTAACTGAATAATTTTTTAATACCCTAAATAGAGCATTATCTGATTAATGTACTGAATTTAGCAAGTATAATTTTAAAGCACTCATACGAACTCTATGTCTCATAGCACCAAATACTTGAACTGAAATATCTTAAGGGGGGGGGGGGGAACAAAATTTGGGGGTTTATTTTTTACATTTGAACAAATGCAAAGCTTTATGCGGATTTAAAAAATGTATATAGCATCTGTAAAAAGGTAATGACAATATACTATGTATTTCCCTTATATTGCCTAAATTAAAGAAAAAACAACAACAAAGGCACTGGAGACATACTCATTGTAGCATACCCAAAGAACTGTGCATGATATGCTGTGGACAAGCTTGTCTACTCATCTGTTTCAACACAATTTAATTCTCTTTCACAAAGGTCAGACTGGGTACTGCAGTTTCACTGCCACTCTTTGTTCCATCACTTGCATTACTTGCCCATTCTGTATCAGACTGGTGACTACAATATCCCTTCCCCCTTGTGAGAGGGGATATACAAATAAGTATTTTAGCTTTGGGTTTGACCCACATAGTCCAGTTAGGTGAACACCTAGATTTTTATTTGGATTGTTGTATGTATCTGTAATTTTATCCCCCCACCACATGTTTACCAATCAATAAAACATGCACGTTCTCTTTCCCTCACAATTCCTAAGAATATCGCCTAAGAAGCATTACAGCTTGGAAACTGCCACACTTCTGTAATATTGTACTGGCAAAGGCATCCATTCATTGTAATTGATTTTCTGAAACAATGAATGGAAATTGACATTTTTCCATGGAAAAATAAGGAACCTCACATCTCTGTAAACCATTCTGAAATAGCGTCTTCTTTAGGAAAAAAAGACTGGCTGCTTGGTTGTTTTAAATGTATGTATCCGTAACACACAAGGCCCTCAGTCTAGTAATTTGGCTTAACATTTCATGGAACTCTACTTTGAGAATCATATCAGAAATGATAATGGTGCTGTAAGATTTTACGGGCCTGCTATATTGTAGGATGTCCATATAAGCTATATGGTTCATGCTACAAAATCGCCTGACCAAGTTGTCCACATCTATCTTAATGTGAATACTTTCAGATTCCTATTTTATTCAGATTTATGGATTAAATTGTTACAGGTTGGGCTTATCGGTATTTTTCAGGTATTTATTCCGCTGAATGCAGATTAGACAATTTGATTTGGCTACCAATATAGCTGGCCCAAGTATAAGCCAATACTATTTGGCTTTTATTCGGGCCAGCTCTATCGCTGAGTTGTGCAGCTGTGGTGGCATGGCTTAAATACATTCCCTTCACTCATGGAGGCATGAAGGGAAGACATTTTTAAATGCCTTCACTCCCAGAGTTGCACTGCCTTGGCGGCATGCCTCCACAATTTAAGGAAGAGGGCATTTACTTTCTTCATTCATGAGGTGTGCCGCAGTGGCAGCACAACTCTGCAAGTGAAGGGAAGGCATTTTAAAATGCCAAATAAATTTGGGTTTCCTGATTTATTTACTTGAGTATTGGGAAATACTGATATTTTTGGGGTCCAATGGACCCTAGTTTTTCCTGTGCACCCCTAGTGTCAAGAATAAGATCACTTTTATCAAACATCACAGTTCAGATCTTTGCTATCAATGTTATTTCACAAATGGGAGTTTAGAAGGATTTTTCTGCTTTATGAAATGGTTCTCAGATTGCTCAAGTTTACAATACATTAGTGAAACACACTTTATGGTTTTCTGAAAAAAATAGGTTAATTAAGCTGCAGGTTCTTTTAGGGCAGTACTACACATTGGGATTGTGGCAGATAATGAAGCTATACCTGTTATCTACAGTACATGCACAGAATGTACACGCAGCCTCTGCTAGTAAGCTGCATGCATGTGCTGCAGAAAATACAAGAGCAACACCAACAGTCATAATGTGAAGCACTGCCTTTATTCAGCAGCCATCAACAGCTTAAAGTCATCCTATTGCTTACTACACTGCCTAGGGACACAATCCAGGCAAAATTAAGCACTTTAAAATCCCACTGATTTTATGAGTTTAACTCTCCCATTGCAATCAATGGGGCTTTAAAGTGCTTAACTTTGGCTTCATCGTGGCCATACCTTTTAACTTCTGCGGCAACAAACAAGGCAGGATACCAGAGGATCAGGCTCATTCAAAATTTTCTGAGGGCCAGTTTACAATCAAGATTTTCCTTTTGATCTGTGAAAGAGGGCGAATGGGGGCAGTATGATTATTCTAATGATACAACATTCAGCATCTTTTCTCATGATTCATTTCTACATATAACAAATAGCTGTGTGCAGATAGATGCATTCTTATTTAAAGGACAAAAATGGTTTTCAAGTTGTTTTGTCTAATGTGCAATACTTCTCTGTTCTATTCTACAAAACCTACCCCCCCCAATCAAGAACCTCCATTACAGTGCAATTTCCAATGTACAGATACATATGTATCCATATAAGAATCTATATTTTGTACACAAAACAGTGCAATTGAAGGCCATTTAAATCACTGGCAAAAGACTGCAAAACATTTAGAAAGTGATGTATTAAGTCTGGCTTAATCGTTATGTAATACTAAAGTTATCCTTATGACTATTTAATTCATGACATTTATCCTTGCTAATCCTCTCATCTATTTGACAGATTTTTTGCTAATGCCCAATAGAATCAGTTAGTCTTTGCCATGACTCCAATATGAAAAGGAGGAAATACTCAGGCCACAGATGTGAACTGTTTCACTTATTCAAAGGTCTTTGGCATAGAAAAATACAGCCTTTTATTTTTTGAACAGGAAGGTTTTTAGCAATAACAAAATAGCACTCAAACCTAGGTATATAGTTATTCTTAAGAGGAGTGTTGTTGTTGGCTAAATACTACAGAGAAGAAATATAGAGATTCAAAACCATCAAAGCCACCTTTAAAGGTAAAATGTTAAGTATAGTAAATAAAATGTATAGGTACTTACCCATAAATAATATGTGAACTGCAGTGCAAAAATAGCTATCCCTTCATTGTCAAAAGATCCCGCCACTGATCGTGATATGTAACCAGGTACTATAGCAATAAAACAGGCAGCTAAAAGCCCTGCTCCTTGGTTCCACAGTTCTCTGGTAAGCAGGAAAGTAGAAATTGATGTAAGGCCGCTAAAAACTGGTGCTAGAAACACACATACATCTCTTATGTGGACAGTTATGTTAAGCATATTTAAAATCCAATGTATAAGGCCTGCTGTCACCATCAGCCCTGGGTATACCTACAAAAAAGAGAGAGAGAAATCACATTGCAAACTGTATATCCTCAACTCACACTGAAGATGCTGTGACCAACACATTTAAACTATCAACAATGCCAAATGTCTTGTTCAGCACCTATAGCCAAGCACTATTTGTATCAAAAAGCAACATATGCAAATAAAAAAACAACTATCATAATGAGAGATTACTTGGTAAATCAAAATTACAGTGTTCAAAAAATTTCACACACACGAAGTGAGAATTTGACCTTTGTGAGGGCTGACCCAACCTTCTCCCATCACTGCCTACATGAAACTACTTATGTTTAGAAATCCAAGAGGACATATAGCTGATAAGGATAGGGATTGTAAAAGCAAATAGGCCAACTGTTAGCAATCTGAGATGGCAGCTATATGGAAGCAGCAGCAGCTGGGAGAGCAGGTAGAAGATAAGCAAAGGATGGCAATAATAGCGGCAAACTTTGTCCCACTGATATATGCAAAATGACTGCCCCCGCCCCAGGGAGGAATTATGCAACATTTAAAATCAGGTATTTGAGAGTTTAACCACAGATGCACTGCATGTTTGCATTCAACTTATATTTTTCTTGATTAGTGTTTTACAGTTGTATGTGTTTTTATTCCTAAACTGTACTGAGCACATGAATGCATTTTCAATAAAATTCAGACAATCCTAGTATTTTATAGTTTTGAGATTTTTTAGAACTACAATAGCTTCATATCTACTAGTATCACAGGTATAAGATAGGGTCTTTAGTATATTTTGGTACAGAGATCCGTCACAATTCTTCAAATTTCTATAGGACACATTCACATTTTGCAGTATTCACAAGATTGTCTGATGGAACTAGTAGAGCTATGGTTCTTCACATTGTAATACAAGTTATAACAGGGGGGGAAAACCCAGGATTTTAGAACTTTAAGTTATTCATTAATCCAAACTGCATCAATGGAGGCTACCCTGGTTGGCCACCTTTAAGGATGGTGACAATGGGAACAGGAATACCAGAGAACAACAGTCATGCAGAATTAAAATTCTAGTTATGGGAATTTTTATTCCAGTAGGCAGAATAACTATCTCAGAACTGGGTGTGTGTTGGAAGCTTCAAACTCTGGAAGCAAAAAAAGAAGCACTCGTTTCTGCCACAGCTTTCTAGGCCTCACAAATGCCTTAGCTTGGCAGTTTTACCAATATTCTTTAAAATGGCAACCACTACCATGCTGCCACCCACAACTTCACCTAATTCCATTATGCAATTTTTGCTCCAATGAACTGGACAAGGAATTTCCATCTGACAATTCTGCAGAGAGGAAAAGGAGAATTTATGCTATGAAGTAGGTTGTAAAAGAATGAGTGTGCCCAGTGGCCTCTTTTCCAGAGATGAGAAAGTATTGCTTGGCTCTCAGAAGAAGTTATCCAACACATGTAATGTGACTTGAGAGGGGGGAAAAACTGTCACCACCTCAGGTGTCTTTGCCTGTACCTCAGCCCCAAAGCTCCACCTCCTTGATGACTGAACTACGTAAAAAGCAGACTCAAATGATGTACCTGTTGCTATACTGGTATCTCTTTAGGCTGCAAGCCTGTTTGAATATCATCTACACAGATTAAAAAATTCTCCACACATACAAAACTGACATATCAGGTTGGTATGTGTTATATGTGAGGGAATATTTAAACAGATCAGCAGTCTAAGAGAAAAAGTCCAGCAACAAGTTAATATATACGAAACAACACCTTTATTGACATATAAAACAACAAAATAAAGCTTCATCAATAAGATAACATTACACCTGCAAATCTTAAAATACATCAATATTCAAAATGGTTCCTTGCTGCCAAAATCTTGGACAAGAATTCAGCAATCTCTGCAGTAACTTCTGGTGACTTATCTGCTAGAAGGTACCTAGACAAGTTAATACTTTTATTTGGAACAACTTGGACATCTCTCTATATTGAAAAGTTTGAAATTGGACCAAACAATGATTTTGGCTGGTTGTTAAACAAAATGAAAACACATCCAAAAAGCAAATGGGAAAAAAGCGATAGAAGATCCCTATTCCACCTTAACATTTTTACAACTGTTAAAGAATTCTATCAGATTTATTTCTAATACTTACAGTCCCACCTACTATTCTTCCTAGTGGATACCATGCTCTTTCATCAAACCAGTTTAAGAATTCATAAAATCCATGTGATGCAAGATGATGTGTTGATCTGTAGTTAAACCTGGAAAAATAAAATAATTTTAATAACTCCCCATGAGTGATTTAGACTGCTATTCTACAGACATGTACTTGCAAATAAATTGAATAACTGTGGACCTTGCTTCTAACAAACAGCCACAGGACTATGCTATAAAGCAGGCCAAACTTTCTTAACAGAAGAGCCACATAGAACAACCATCAGATGCTTGAAAGCTGCAGACATGAACAAATATTACACATGTTTTTATTGGAAAATATGCAGATTTGCTCTTTCTTAACTTTAAATGAGACTGCCAAAAATAAACACAAAAGGGGTAAAAACAGATATTGATGATGATATTTATTTGTCCAATGATATTTACTTGCTTGCTAGTGATATTTGTCTAAGAGAGAGAGAAAGAGAGAAGTGGAAAGAGAGAGAGAAACAGAGAAATCAGGAAAGGGAAGGAAGGAAGGAAGGAAGGAAGGAAGGAAGGAAGGAAGGAAGGAAGGAAGGAAGGAAGGAAGGAAGGAGGGAGATGGGGAGCCTGCCGGGAGTTGCACAATATGTGTGAAAGAGCCACATGCGGCTCCCGAGCCACAGTTTGGCCACCCCTGCTATAAAGTGTACTTCATTCCATGCAAACTGGAAGTTGAGTATTTGTCCATCTTTCAAATCAATGTTCCATTTTTCTGTCCAACAAAGCTTCCTACTATTAGTCTATATCCTGAAGCGAGAACAGTTTAAAAATACTCCTGAAGTATATACAGCTTTAACTTCAAATTAATTTTTACCAAATATCCATTAATAAGCTTCTACATCAGGAATTGGGGACTGGGTGGTTTACTGACAATCTCGAATTGGCTGGTATATTGGCATGGAATTTCTCCACATGTTAAGTCTTTTACTAATACTTGTAGACCAACAGGTCACAAGCAAATGGAGAAAAATATATTAATATACAAATATGAGAAACATAAGAATATAATTTTTGGCCCAGAAATTTTGGCCCAACTGGCCCAAAAGGTGACATGATGACTCAAAAACTAGAGCATCACCCCCCCCCCCGGTCAATTCCAAGTGATGTCATTGCGCCGTGCATGTAAGTGGTTATTGAATATATTTCAAGTTCTCCCCCAAATTTCTGTTTTGTTTCCTGTGGCGTCAAAATTTCCAGAAATTTTACATGTCTATCCTTATTTTTTTATTAATAAAATTGTTCAAATAATCATAGAAAGGCAAAGTATAACCATTAACATATAGCCTTTGGGTGTGTACTCCTTTAAGAAATAATTTTAAAGGAATTTAGAAAGTGCTAAAATTAGGCTTTAATTGAGGCAGGATTCCTAGGACTATGGTTATAAGCTACAGAAGTCATTGAGTTGGATCCAATAACTCCCTTTCACTAAGATTTCCTCTATATGAATAAGACTTGAAGCCTTGACAGAAGGGAGCCATTGGATCTATAGTGCAGAACCACATTGCTAAGCATCTTTATATAGTTATGCTCCGCATGCAGAATGGAATAATAGCTAATATAATTTTATAACACTGATTCTGAAAGCCAGAAAGTAATTTAAGGAAGAAACAGAGCCTTTCAGAATTAATGATACAGGTCTTACTCTAAATATAATTGAAAAACAATAGCAAACATTATTTGTACTCAGATACTGAACACTACTATGCTACACAACACTGAACTTTTGCCACACTACAATGAATGTGAAAGAGTTTCAGACAAAATAAAGAGGTGGTAACACAACAATACCAGGCAAACAACTCTTTCAACCTAGCAGCTGAGGCAGGTTTAGACAAGTCAACTTGTCTAAGAGGTAAGAGTTCACATGAGCACTTGTAAAATGCCAGATTTTACAATTTTCTGTTTCTTTTAAAACAGTGCTGATTCTTTCCTTGTATTTATGCTTTCCCTTCCTTTTCTGGTCAACCACACTGACAAAAAGTGGTATGTTTCTATCACAGCAAGCCTGGGTTATAGGGATACAGGTGAATTAGCATATTGCTTACAAGAACTGAATATAGAAGAGTACCTTGATTTAATTGAATTTAGGTTTGTTTTATTAAAAAAATCCTTTAAACGTCTCACCTGATTCAGTATTTTCATCTGCAATAGATTAATGTCACTTTTGAACATGAAAGAACCATTCCCAGAAATCAGGCCGCTGGAAATTTCTACAGCAAAGAGTTACTGATTCAGTTACTAGACTGTTTGGAACTATGAGGCATCCTTCAAATTCTATGTAACGCAACACTAGAAACTGAGTGTTTGCTATAGGGAAGCAGGACTTGCTGCACAATTGAAGGAAACTGTCGGTATTTGGCCAAGTATCCAATATATAGCCAGCCAGTTACAATTCTCTGTTCTAGATGGAAAGGCTTAGAAATTGTCCACCTTTAGTAATATGCCTTTTAGAGTTCAGAACTCTTTAATGAAAGGACAAGATACTTTTTAATTTTCATGTTTGCATCATCATTCCACTTCCCACATTTCTGACTGTTTACATTTAGGAATCATTGTTTACACTCAAGAGGCTGAAATTAATGAAAACACCAAAAATCACAATGCAAACTCAGGATCAAACTTTAGACACCACTGGCTTCCTAGGCAAGTCTGAACAGCTTTCACTAGGCAACATTAGAAGCATCAAATGCAAATTTTAACCGGACATGCTAAAGCTGGTGCTTCTGAAGTCTGTGACAAAACGTTAGATGTGAGATTTTTTAAACCCTGAACTGGCTGCATGGGGTTGGCCCCATGGAGAAAGGGAAATCTACATAATGAGACCAGCCATGGGTGAGGGAAACAACCAGGTTTGTAGAAAAACCTTATTTTTTTTAAAAAACCCAACCATATAGATATGTTAAGGCTCAGAAAAACAGATTTTTGTGTGTGTGTGTGGGGGGGAAGCATATCCCTTCCTGTTTCTCTCCCTAGGACTCCCTGCTCCCCCAGTTTGGCTGACAGAAATGTTGGGGAGCACTGAAAAAAAAACCTATGAAATATGTTCACTTTTAGAATAATAAATTATTCTTAAGGCAAGGTTTTCCACATTCCAAATGTATTGCATATGAAAAAGGTCTTCTTCAAGTTTTCCATAGGAAAAATGGGAAATTCGGAAGAACACTGGAACAAACTCCTATGATCCCCCCCCCCAAATTTGTAATGACTGAAGCAAAAGATGAAGTTTTACTCAAAAGTGTTGTTGTTTGGAAGTTTTATGTAAGACAATCTACAGCACTAAATAATAATTCCGATGTATATTGTAGACATAAATAACACTTCTCAAGAATTGTTTATTTAAATGCAAATAATTTCTTGCAACAATTGATCCATATAGTCAATTCTCAACATGGTTGAATCTGTGGATATTTAAATCCAAAGACTGAAGAGATAAATAGACAAGAAAAAAATCTTTCTTACAACTGATCTCCAGACTACATAGATGGCTTATTTATTTAAAACATTTATTCCATTTCTTTTGTAGAAAATGCCTGCTTTGGAAGGTAGACTCTTATTACACTATACCCTACTGAGGTCCCTCTCCTCCCTAAACCCCTCCCTCAAATCTCCGGGTATTTTTTAACCCAGATTAGGTAACTCTAAAACAACTACAATAGCATTTGTAGACTTCAAGACTTGGTTTCTGTCAGTAAAAGACAGGGGGAGGAGGCATGGTCCTTTCCAAGGCTCTTTTGGCCTTTGAGCGAGGACTCGTTGGGTCAGACTGGGCAGCAAGGGACTTGCTGCTACCTTACTTGCAAGACTGAACGAGGCCTGGCTACTTGTTATGGTTCTAATTAAGAAACCAAAAGGTTAATGACCACAGCTCTAAGGGCCAAAAAAAATCAATTAAAACCATATAACATAAAGATTATAAAATATACCAAAATACATGTATTTATTACAAATTAGATAAAAACAGATATAGGCCCCATAGTAGCCTCAAAACAGAATAAAATCCTACATAGGTATCAAACAGAAAACATATGTGACCAAAACCATACATGTTTCAGCCAATTCAGCCTTCCTCAGTGGTCAAACATATATATTGTGCATTAGCTGCAAGTAATACAATAAATACCCAAGATAGGACCAATTAAAAACGATGTTATAAGAAATCTCAATTACTCAAGGCAGGGATAAAATACAGAGGCCTCATTTTCAAATACCTTCTGCCCTGGTCATATGCTTGTGTCTTCAATTATGTGTCTTTCTCTCTTGGTCCAAGGAAAGTATATTCTCATGCAATTTGGAGCCAATAAGGAAGTGAAAGTGTTGTTGGATACCTATCTATGAATTTATTCTGTTGAGGCGACTACTGGGCCTATATCTGTTTTTGTCTAACTTGTATGTTGTTAAATAAATAAAACAGGTCTTTATTGAAATATACCTATATTTCCATTTCCCCCACTATTTCTCCACCCTCCCCAGAGGCCTCAACATTTCTGGAAATTTGTCATCTCTAAATTCAACAATAATTTGTTTTGGATCAAAAAGCTCCAAAAAGATTAACAGCACATGTGCAGATGTTGTAAAAATCCCAGAGTTCAGGTGGCATGGGGTGTCAGATGTTGCAGCAGCAGCAGCCACCACCAGAAGAAAGTGTGTGTATGTATGTTGGGAGGAGGGAACGAATTGGAAACAGCAATGAGAGGTGAGGAACTGGAACCAACACCAACAGAAAGGGAGAAGGGAAGTCAGAGCCACAGCCAGCGGAAAGGGGGGGGGGAATGGTAGTTCCCCTCCTCTATGAGTCTTGTCTTGTAACTTTATATACAAATAAAGTTAATTCATTTTTTGAGAAGTTCTACTGAACTAGCAAGTGGAAGAAAATAGCGAGATTCATGTTGCCACTTTACTGAATATGTATGTACTACTAAAGGCACTAACCAATTTTCTATGGCTCTAAGAGCCAGCCCAAAAACTTGGGCGCCAGACTTGCTTTTCAGTCTTCAGAGTTTCATATATTAATTACCATATCTTCTAATTATTGTTACCAAAAAGCCTAATCCTAGCCTCTTCA